ATCATTTTAGATATGCATGATTTTGATGTTATTTTGGGTATGGATTGGCTTGCTAAGTATTTTGCTAATTTGGATTGTCATGGGAGAAGGGTAGATTTTCGAATTCCTGGTCAACAGGAATTTAGTTTTGTGGGTAGTAGAGGGAAGGGTGCTCCAGTAATTATTTCAGCTTTGCAAGCTAGTAAAATGTTAAGAAGAGGTTGTGAAGGATATTTAACCACCATTGTGGGTACCCAATCTAGTGAGTTACAACTTAAGGATATTAATGTTGTAAGGGAATTCCCATATGTTTTTCCAGATGATTTACCTAGTTTACCTCCTGATAGAGAAGTGGAGTTTTCCATTGACTTGTTGCCAGGGACTGCCCCAATATCTAAGGCTCTATATAGAATGGCACCAACTGAATTAAAGGAGCTAAAGGAGCAGTTATAGGAGTTGTTGGACAAGGGTTTTATTAGGCCTAGTGTGTCTCCTTGGGGTGCTCCTGTATTATTTGTAAAAAAGAAAGATGGAAGCATGAGGCTTTGTATTGATTATAGGGAGTTAAATAAAGTGACCATTCGAAATAAATATCCTTTGCCTAGGATTGATGATCTGTTTGATCAGTTGAAGGGGGCACAATTTTTCTCCAAAATTGATTTGAGATCTGGGTATCACCAGTTGAAGATTAAGGGAGAAGATGTTTCCAAAACTGCTTTTAGAACTCGATATGGACATTATGAATTTCTGGTAATGCCGTTCGGGTTGACTAATGCACCGGCAGCATTTATGGATATGATGAATAGGGTGTTCAAATTGTATCTAGATAAATTTGTGGTGGTGTTTATTGATGATATCTTGGTGTACTCTAGAAACAAAGTTGAGCATGAGGAACATTTGCGCTTGGTGCTACAAATTCTAAGGGAGAAGAAGCTTTATGCAAAATTCAAAAAGTGTGAGTTTTGGTTGAATAGTGTGGCATTTTTAGGACATGTGGTGTCTAAGGATGGAGTCTCTGTGGATCCAGATAAAGTGAAGGCAGTGGTGGAGTGGAGCAGGCCGACTAATGTTACTGAGGTTCGAAGTTTTTTGGGCTTAGCGGGGTATTACAGGAGATTTATAGAAGGTTTTTCTTGCATAGCAATACCTTTAACTCAGTTAACTCAAAAAGGAGTGAAATATGAGTGGACTGATGGTTGTGAGCAGAGTTTTCAGGAGTTAAAGAATCGATTAGTTTCAGCTCCAATCTTAACCATTCCTGATGATAGTGGTGGGTTTATTGTTTATAGTGATGCTTCCAAGAAGGGGTTAGGTTGTGTGTTGATGCAACATGGTAAGGTTATTGCTTATGCCTCTAGACAATTGAAACCATATGAGAAAAACTACCCAACTCATGATTTAGAGCTCGCTGCAGTTGTTTTTGCTTTGAAAATTTGGAGGCACTACCTTTATGGTGAGCGGTGTGAGATATTCACTGATCATAAGAGTTTGAAGTATGTTTTCACACAAAAGGAATTGAATATGAGACAGAGGAGATGGTTAGAGTTGTTGAAGGATTATGATTTAACTATCAGTTATCACCCGGGTAAGGCAAATGTAGTAGCTGATGCATTGAGTAGGAAAGATCATGGGAACTTGGCCACTTTAGTCACTTCAAATAGGCAGATTCTGAGAGACCTGGAAATGATGCAAATGGAGATTAGAGGGCCTAGTTATGGTGTTCAGTTGGCTACCTTGGTTGTTCGACCTACTCTAATAGAAAGAATTAAAATTGTTCAACAAAGTGATCTATTCTCACAAAAGGTTAAGCAAAAAGTGGAGTCTGGACATCCACAATGGAAGAAGTTTAAAATTCATGAAGATGGCTCTGTAAGATTTGGGAACAGATTGTGTGTTCCAGAAGATGCTGAGTTGAAGAAAGAGATTTTGGAATAAGCACATTACACCGGGAATACTGTACACCCTGGTAGCACTAAGATGTACAAGGATTTAAAAGGGATTTTCTGGTGGAATAACATGAAGAGGGAAGTGGCAACTTTTGTGTCTCAGTGCTTAATTTGTCAACAGGTGAAGGCAGAGCATCAGAGGCCAGCAGGTCCTTTGCAATCACTTCCTATTCCTGAATGGAAGTGGGAGCACATTACCATGGACTTTGTATCCGGTTTGCCTACTACAATTAGGGGACATAATTCAGTTTGGGTAGTTGTTGACAAGTTAACTAAGTCTGCCCACTTCTTAGCAGTGAAGAAAGATTTTTCATTAGAAAAGTTAGCAAGGTTGTATTTGCAGGAGATTGTTAGATTACATGGGTACCTGTGTCCATAGTTTCTGATAGAGATACACGATTTGTGGCACACTTTTGGAAGAGTTTACATAAGGCACTAGGCACTAGGCTGAATTTTAGCACTGCTTACCATCAACAGACAGATGGACAATCAGAAAGAACTATTCAAGTTTTGGAAGACATGCTGAGAGCTTGTGTTTTGGATCTGAAAGGTGCTTGGGATGAACATTTGCCTTTAGTTGAGTTTGCTTACAATAATAGCTATCAAGCAAGTATTCAGATGGCGCCTTATGAGGCTTTATATGGCAGGAAATGTAGGTCCCCAATTTGTTGGGATGATGTGGGAGAAAGAAGAATGTTAGGACCGGAACTTGTTCAACAGACTGTAGAGAAGATACAACTAATTAGAGAACGTCTTCGTACAGCTCAAAGTAGGCAAAAGAGTTATGTTGATAATCGGAGGCGTGACCTAGAATTTCAAGTGGGAGAAAGGTTTTCTTGAAGGTCTCACCAACTAGAGGAGTCATGAGGTTTGGGATTCGAGGAAAACTTAGTCCTCGGTTCATTGGTCCTTTTGAGATTTTAGAGAGGGTTGGAGAGGTAGCATACAGATTAGCACTACCACCTAATTTGTCAGAAGTTCATAATGATTTTCATGTCTCCATGTTAAGGAAATATGTTTCAGACCCTAATCATGTAATTGAGCACTCTCCACTTCAACTTAGAGAGGATTTGTCTTATGAGGAGCATCCAATTCGTATTGTGGATAGAAAGGAGCAAGTGTTGAGAAGACGTATAATTTCTTATGTAAAAATTCAATGGAGTAATCACGTCGAACGTGAAGCAACATGGGAGTTGGAGGAGGATGCGAGGAAGAAGTACCCATACCTATTTGTCGATACAGGTACGAGTTTAGGGACTAAACTCTTTTAAGGAGGAGAGGATGTAATACTATGGATTATTATTATCATTATTATTATTATTTTGAAATTTAAATAAATTATTTAAGCCCTTAGTGGATGTATATGTTATAGAATTAAATTTGGGGCTAGAATTATAGTGAGGTGAGGAACTCGAGGACTAAAACTTTATGGTTAAAGTTCAGGGACTAGGTGGTAATATTCGCTTTTTGTGAAAACCCCCAAATCAAATTGGGTCGGAGTGCAGTCAGCAGTTTTATATTTTTGTTCTTTCTTTCTTTCGGGGAAGCGAAATTGATTTCTTTTTGTGGATAGCAAGGGGGATTCTAGGGACCGGCCATATTAAACTAATTGAAGGTAAATTGTCTTCTTAAGTTTAGAGTTTTTGATGATTAAAAGAATAATGAGGGATTGATTTTACTATAATAGTTGATTTTGGAATTGATTTTATAATTGTGAAATTGAGTGAGAAAGTAAGACACGGATGATATGAGAAATTGAGATTAGTTCCTATAATATTTAAATAGCGCTAGTTAAACTCTATTTAGTGATTGGGTTATATTTATTTGCTGTTTTTCTCTAGGCTCCAAGTAGTTGTATGGAATTGCAATTGAAAGATAGTTATTGAGGTAAGTAGCTATACCCTCCAATGGTTTTAAAATAAATCGATATAATTAAATGGGTTTTGCCCAGATTTGACTTATTTATCTATTTGATTATTTATTCATCTATTCCTTGGAGAATGACTTATACTAAATATTTTTTAATGATGGAATGAGATGATTTGTGAATCGAGCATAATATTTCTATTTAAAATTGAGATGAGATTGTGGCCATGTGGAGGTGGCTAATTTAAATGTGTCTTTTTCCAATATTATTGAAATTGTATTTTTTTGGAACGATTTCTTTTATTTGTCCTGGCTGGATGATTCACCCTTGTGAGGGTTGAGTTGGTATTGTGATAGATCCGGGATCTATGGATTGTGAATTGTGAATTGTGGAATTGAGAATTGTGGATTGTGGATTGTGGATTGTGGATTGTGGCATTGTGAATTGTGGATTGTGGATTGTGGATTGTGGATTGTGGATTGTGGATTGTGGATCGTGTATCGTGGATTGATGATTGAGTATCATTGATCGTGGATTGTGGATTGTTGCACAGTCATAAGGGACGAGTAATGAAATATTTTGGTTTCGAGGAAAGAAGTATACTTTTATCATATCATTTTTAATAAAAATTC